TGAATCGAGAAAGTGTTCGGTTGATTGCAAAAAATGAACTTAATCTCAAGCCCTACAAGCTCCAAAAAGTGCATCGTGAGACTCCAAAGATGCCGTCAGCTAAAGCGTCGGGCCGCAGGTCAAAAATGGGAGCGTATTCTCTTCACGGACGAGAAGATATTCACCATCCAACAGGCGCACAATCACCAAAATGACAGAAGCTGGTCGGCTGCAGCTCCAGGTACCTCTGCAATAATCGAGCGCCGTCAATGTGAGCAGTCTTTAATGGTTTGGGGAGGAATATGCGCCACCGGCAAAACACCCCTTGTTTTCATCGATCAAGGGGTCAAAATCAATCAGGAAGTGTACCGCCGGGACATTTTGGAAACTTTTGTGCTTCCTTGGGCCCAGCAGCACTTCGGTGATACAGAGTGGATGTTTCAACAGGATTCAGTGCCAGCCCATAGAGCCAAATTGACTAAGGACTGGTGCAAAGCCAATTTTCCGGACTTTATCACATCCAGTGAATGGCAACCTTACTCGCCAGATCTTAATCCGATGGACTACAGTGTGTGGTCTATTTTGGAGTCCAGGGCATGTGCTAAACGCCACATAAGTTTGGAGGCGCTGAAGCAATCATTGCTCCGAGAAAGGGATCGATTATCGGAAGAAGACCTGCGGCCCATTGCGCTTAATTTCCAGAAACGTTTAGGGCTCTGCATAGCAGCCCAAAGAAGCCACTTCGAAACCGCCTGAATATATGTTAACACAATACCTATTTAATAGCTGTGTATCTGCATTTTTTTTCAAATACAGTTCCTTAAAATATTCTAATCAAAAATGTGTGTCCGGGTTATTTATTGTCACCCTGTATAAATTTATAATTAACAAGAGGAAACGCTATAGTCGAGAGTTGTTTTCAACAATTTTAAAATATTCATTTTGCTAGTGGAAATTCCGATAGTGCCACCTATTGTCGGAGAAAGCATGTTGAGTAATTGATAGTGACGTCACTGCCCATGTGAGGCCTTATAACCTAAATTTCTTCATAAATTGCGAAATAATGTTCCGATTTGCAAAATCTTTGGTAAAAATATGTTATACAAAGTCAAACAAAGACATACACTATAATATTATGGACGCCACAGTTTATCGCAGTTTGTGGCCGTTAGAGTGAGCGTGGCCGGATGAGAACTAGGGGCAAGTTGCAGTGGCATCTTTTAAATACGCATTCTTAACTACTTTCTATCTCTTATAGTTCCCGAGATTTTCGCATTTTTGGTTTTTCGGTTTGCCACTATTTCTTGAATAGACGGCAAGTAGAGCTAATTCATTAACAGGGGCATATTCATAATGATTTTACATTTGGAGACGCAAATAGCATGGCATAAAAGATACTCCCTCTACAAGAAAATAGATTCACTTCAGGCTGAACAGATGCTCCTTTCCCTTAACGTAAACTGTTAAGGGACCTCAGCTGAAGTAACGAATTTTAATTATATATTTCTCTTTTCTCGCCACAGTCGCATAAACATTATTGTTCAAACAAGTGCCGAAACAGTGGCATCAGTGGACGCACCTTTAAAGAAAGAGTCTTAAAATGTACGTTTACAAACTTAGTTTTTACACTAGCAGTGTTTTCAAAATGTAAACTCCATTTTACATTCTGGAGACCATACAATCGGAATACATTAATGATACCCTCTTCTCACATTCCATTACTTACAACTCCAACGACATTCCCAATATCTTAGGAAATATATACCACTCAGTTAGCTTTCTATATAGCATTTTGGACAGCACATTCTGCCAGCTTTCTAAAAAATTATAACTATAAGAATTAAAAAAAATATAATAATAATAATAATTAAAATAATAATAATAGTAAGCAATTAAATAAGAGTTTTTTTGCTCCACATTTTGGTGACCCTGACGTGATCACAGCGCGTTTTGATTATTGTGATCAGTACAAAAGTGACACGGAAATGTTGTTGTTTTTGTTAATAATAACCGTGCACTTAAATTACATAATGGAGTCTGGAGTTGAAGTCGCTGGATCTGCTGCTGCAAGCAGGGAAAGGATGTTGCGAAGACGAGCAGAGGTTACTTGTCAAGAAATTAGGGTCCTACATCAGAAGGTAAAGGCTGCGATGCGGACCGAAGACTCAACCATCAGACCGTCGAGTCCACGGAAAAGTTTCTGCGTGATCGATTCGTCGCGCTTCAGGAGGAATTGGAGGAGCTAAATCATATCGAAATTGGAAGTGATTTGTATTAGAAATTTTCTCAGCTAGTCACGGACGTTCACGTCGACATCCAAGTGGAAGTTGCCAACCGCTCCAGTAGAGTTGCTGCCCACTCTACGCTATTGGATTGTCGCATTGCCCCCGTTGCCGATACCAACATTCAGCGGTGGCTATGCCGAGTGGCTGTATTTCCTCACTTGACCAAGATGGAGAAGCTCCGGTGGCTTATTTCATGTAAGCGGGAGTCAGCCTTGGAGACTGTGAGAGCGTTGGAAATTACTGACGGGAATTATTATTTTGCCCCTGATCTTTTGCAAAACCGTTTTAGTAATCGATGATTAATATTCCAGGCTCCCATTAACGAGATCCTCATCCAGATCACTCTTGGGTCCACCGAAAGCTGGACCCTGTCTCTCAAAGCTGCAGGAAAATATGATGACCGCCTGCCAACTTGGGGATCTATGGCTCGGTTTTTAGAACAAAGGTGCCGTACACTGCCAGCGAATCAAGTAAGCCGGCGTAGGCCGTTTAGTAATTGTTCGTGCATGCTCCTTAATGCGCCGGCTCCGTGTGTCCTGTGCGGTATCCTGGCGCATGCTGTTCCAATTTCCACTAGTAAAAGAGATATTTTAAAATTTTATGAAACAGTTACGGGTACCTTATAGTTGCGGCACTCGACTATAAAGTTTCTTCTGGTTTTTTATAAAATGCTCATGCAATAAAATTTCCACTTAATCTTACCAAATTGTTGTGTGTATGAAAAATATCAAATGGTTAGTTAGTAATAGTTTATTGTTTTTGCATATATTCTTCGCACCAATTTGATATTTGTTTCGGGATACCTAACAATCGTTGTGCAATTTTAAAACTGTTTCAACAAGGAAATCATTCAATGCAACATTGTTCGTTTGCTTGGCATACCAAAACAATCGTTGTGCAATTGAAAAAGCGGATCACTCGGAATTGCAGAGTCTCGGTCAGAAAAATAGCCCGAGAAATCGGAGTGAACCGAGAAAGTGTTCGGTTGATTGCAAAAAATGAACTTAATCTCAAGCCCTACAAGCTCCAAAAAGTGCATCGTGAGACTCCAAAGATGCCGTCAGCTAAAGCGTCGGGCCGCAGGTCAAAAATGGGAGCGTATTCTCTTTACGGACGAGAAGATATTCACCATCCAACAGGCGCACAATCACCAAAATGACAGAAGCTGGTCGGCTGCAGCTCCAGGTACCTCTGCAATAATCGAGCGCTGTCAATGTGAGCAGTCTTTAATGGTTTGGGGAGGAATATGCGCCACCGGCAAAACACCCCTTGTTTTCATCGATCAAGGGGTCAAAATCAATCAGGAAGTGTACCGCCGGGACATTTTGGAAACTTTTGTGCTTCCTTGGGCCCAGCAGCACTTCGGTGATACAGAGTGGATGTTTCAACAGGATTCAGTGCCAGCCCATAGAGCCAAATTGACTAAGGACTGGTGCAAAGCCAATTTTCCGGACTTTATCACATCCAGTGAATGGCAACCTTTCTCGCCAGATCTTAATCCGATGGACTACAGTGTGTGGTCTATTTTGGAGTCCAGGGCATGTGCTAAACGCCACATAAGTTTGGAGGCGCTGAAGCAATCATTGCTCCGAGAAAGGGATCGATTATCGGAAGAAGACCTGCGGCCCATTGCGCTTAATTTCCAGAAACGTTTAGGGCTCTGCATCGCAGCCCAAAGAAGCCACTTCGAAACCGCCTGAATATATGTTAACACAATACCTATTTAATAGTTGTGTATCCGCATTTTTTCTCAAATACAGTTCCTTAAAAAATTCTGATCAAAAATGTGTGTCCGGGTTATTTATTGTCACCCTGTATAAATTTATAGTTAACAAGAGGAAACGCTATAGTCGAGAGTTGTTTTCAACAATTTTAAAATATTCATTTTGCTAATGGAAATTCCGATAGCGCCACATATTGTCGGAGAAAGCATGTTGAGTAATTGAGAGTGACGTCACTGCCCATGTGAGGCCTTATAACCTAAATTTCTTCATAAATAGCGAAATAATGTTCCGATTTGCAAAATCTTTGGTAAAAATATGTTATACAAAGTCAAACAAAGACATACACTATAATATTATGGACGCCACAGTTTATCGCAGTTTGTGGCCGTTAGAGTGAGCGTGGCCGGATGAGAACTAGGGGCAAGTTGCAGTGGCATCTTTTAAATACACATTCTTACTCTTATAGTTCCCGAGGTTTTCGCATTTTTGGTTTTTCGGTTTGCCACTATTTCTTGAATAGACGGCAAGTAGAGCTAATTCATTAACCGGGGCATATTCGTAATGATTTTACATTTGGAGACGCAAATAGCATGGCATAAAAGATACTCCCTCTACAAGAAAATATTTTCACTTCAGGCTGAATAGATGCTCCTTTCCCTGTTAAGGGACCTCAGCTGAAGTAACGAATTTTAATTATATATTTCTCTTTTCTCGCCACAGTCGCATAAACATTATTGTTCAAACAAGTGCCGAAACAGTGGCATCAGTGCCAGATGCTACAAGTGTTGTTCTCGTCAACCTCAGATTGATCTGTATGGTTCTGAATAAATGGGTCGTCGGCATGTCCCACTTTTAGCTGTGTATGCGCGCTTCCAAAATGCCGATCGAGTTCCAACTCATAGGACACGGAATAATAAACGATATAGAAAAACTGCGCTAATCTGATATTGATATAATACATTATACGGATGTTAAATTATTTGTATCTGACATTCTTATTTCTTCTATTTTCAGAATCACCATTTCTACAATATGACAGACAGAGCGTCAGTTAAAGTAGTCGTTACGGTGTTTTATGAAGCTTTATGTCCCGATTCAAAGTATTTTCTTACTAAGCAGGTGCTTCCTACTTATAAGGTCGCTGAACGAATTATGGAGGTGCGTCTTGCACCTTATGGCAAGGCGAGAACAAACCAAATTAATGACAGAATAACTTTTGATTGTCAACATGGACCTACGGAATGCCAAGCAAACATTTACCACGCATGCACTGTGGAGATTATTGATGATCCACTCCTGCGATTACAAGTAGTCTCATGTATGATTACAGATAACTACTTACCTCAAAATGCTATGCATAAGGTTAGTAGAAAATTTTAAGAAATTTGAGGATTTATTCTAAAAGAAAGACAAGGAATATGAATAATAACTGTTCTTGTTTTTATAATGTTCCTACATTAATATATATATGTTACAAATATATAAATGTATTTATATATAAGTTAATTTGGACCGACCTTTATATTATTTCTCACTTTCACTCGTGCCCGTTGGGGCAAGGATCCGTTAAGTAATAAAACAATTTATTTATTTCACTTATTTATTTTCCTGAACCTATTAAGGTAAAGGATAGTATTTGTGTTTACAATATTAGAGAGTTACAAATTATTTCTCCTAAACCTGTTAAGGTAGAGGATAATATAATTGGTTCTTTGATAATTACACAGCTACGGCTGTGGAGTCTGAATTTAAAACTAAACTAAATGTCCGATCCGGCTGCAGCTAGAAGTCTTCGTCCGGTCGCAGCGCTGTCGCCAAAGTGCCGGATCAGCAATGTTATCCAGGTGCTTACGATCACTCGCTGCGCGAGTGTTCTGGCTGGGAACCGTGGGATTGACTCCAGAGTGCGGAGACGACGATTTCTTTTAATGCGCGTGTTGGCCACTTCTGATCGGGCTCTGGGTGATTGCCCCCAGAGTGCAGAGTCGGCAGTTTCCCTATTCCGTGTGTTGGCCACCGGATGTGGCCCGCAACTCGGCAGTTTCCCAATTTGGGAACTGGGTGTGTTAACTTCTCCTTTTAAGTGGTCGTCGTTATCGACTGTTATCTTCTACAAACAAGCTTAGAGTTAAGAAATTTAATGAGAAAATGAATGACATCGGAATTTTGAAAAACACTTATACTAGATACTTCTAAAATTTCTATTAAACTAATGTTAATAGGCTGTTTGTCTTTAAATTCGCCAATGTCGGAGCCATCTAGAATTGCCGGACTTACAATGTTTAATTTTGCTAGGGTTAAGCCCATTAGAATGTTTTCCAAATCAGTGATAACGATTCTATTTTTAGCTAGGATGATTTTCAAAATGTGTGTTTCTATATATGTCTCGAATTTTTGAATTTGGTTCATAGCGCTCGAACTTTCGTTCAAACGTTCTTGGAGTTTAATATTTAATTCTGTTTGTCCTTCATCTGCTCTCATTAATTGCTCTTGGTTGAATTTTACTTGTTCCCAATCATTAAAGTCGGGTGTACCTGCAACAACTTTTAAGGCTGTTCCGATTAAGTTTATACTCCTAGCGGCCCTATGATGGATTTTTAGGGTAGCTACCAACTTGCGAATATGTCTGATGTCCGTTGCTATAACTGGTAGTCTGTGGTCGTGTAGTCATTTAGTTTCACCGTCGCGTCCGTCCTAGCAGCCGTTAATGCCCAGATTATAATGAATTTTAATAGCCTAGAAAAATATAGATGAATATAAAAAATGTAAAAAACTTTCGTTATCGCAGTAGATTGTTTTGGTTTTCGGAAAGAAATTTATTATTTGAAGTAAAGGTGCGATGGTTTGCACTATCGCGAATTTTGAGAATTTGTCAACGCATGTAAGGTAAGGAAAAGGGAAAATATCGATGTGTTGAATTTCCTCAACGAATGAAGGTATAGGAGATTCTGCGACCCTTTGTTTTGATGGGTGGCGTTTGTATTTTGCCATGGAACAGGTTTTGCAGTTTGATGTTATTTCTGTCGCTAACCGAAGCATTTTTGGGAAGAAATAGTCCCTAAGGATTTGTTTTACATTTTCCTGTGCCGCTCGGTGAGCCCTGTTGTGTTCCGTTATGACAATTTCTTTCTGTTCGGTTAAGTCCTTTATGTCCTGTACGAAATTTTTCGTGTGCTTAAAAGAAGTGCTAGGGAAGGACTCCACTAGTTGGTGTTGGATAAACGCTAAAGTTGGTAGTGAGCAATGTATCGCGTTTACTACCTCTGCGTTTACAACATCTTGTAATGCTTCCATCAGATTTTCCCGGTTGGGGGTTTTGATTATGTGTCTGACTTTGCTTTTAAACAAGATGAATGTATCCACCGAGAAACTATTTCCGTCCTCAATTATGATTTGGTTTCGGAAGCAGTTTACCGGATTGTCGGTTGTCTCGATGGTGTATGTTAGGGACTCTTCACTATGGATAGTGGCTAAGTCCGATTGTTGTCCGTCTTCTAGGGTATTAATGTTCTGGCGAGATAATGCGTCTGCCACGAAATTTTCTTTTCCTGGTTTATAAACCAGTTTTGCACCATGGTCGTCAATAATTCCTTTCCAACGCTTCAGCTTTGCATTGGGATTTTTTTCTGAGACGGCAAAGGTGAGTGGTTGATGATCGGTAAAGATCTGCAACCCTTTTGCTCCGTATAAGTAATTCCGGAAGTTTTTAAGAGCCCACACAATGGCAAGGAGCTCTCGCTCATTGGTTGCGTAGTTTTTTTCGCTATCATGTAGTGCGCGTGATATCATTGTAATTGGGCGGCCATCTTGTGATAGAACTGCCCCTAGTCCGAAGCCTGACGCGTCCGTAGTAAAGTCGAATGGCCTCTTAAAATCTGGATATGAGAGCAAAACGTCTTCTGATGCCAAGATTTCTCTCAGTCTGTCGAACGTTTCTTTTTGTTCTTTGGTCATGCACCTGTAGTAGCTAGCTAGCCCCAGAAAAGATCTGAGGTCAAAAAGTGTTTTTGGTGAGGGAAATTCCTTAATAGCTTTTACCTTTTCAGGTGAAGTTTGGAGTCCCCCTTGTGTCACTATAAAACCCAGGTACTCGACGCTCTTTTTAAAGAACTTCGATTTCTCTTGGGATACTCTCATACCGGCTTCCAAGAGTTTGTCTAAAACCCAGTCCACGTCCCTGACGTGGTCCTCTTTTGTTTTTGAAAATATGATCACATCATCTACGTAGACGTAGCATATTTTTGAGATTCCCACTCTAAGGACGTCATCAATAGCCCTCTGGAAGATGCTTGGGGCGTTTTTAAGTCCGAATGGCATTCAGCAAAATTCGTATTTGCCATTGTTTACGGAGAAGGCTGTTTTTCCCTGTCCTTTTCCGCCAGCTCTATCTGGTGGAAGCCTGATTTAAGGTCGAATGTACTGTGACTCGCCCATATTCGACAGTATTGTCGAAATTGTAGTTTACGTCTACTGTTTTCTGGTTTAGTTTTCTGAAGTCGATAACTAATCGCTTCTTCTTAACCCCATTCTGGTCTATGCTTTTTTTATCTACAACCCACGTAGGGTTGTTATATGGGGATCTGGATGGCCGTATTACGCCGCCCGCTAGAAGTTGTTTAACCTCTGCATTGACGAATTCGGTTACACCCATGGGGTGTGGGTACGACTTGGAGTACACCGGTTCCCCATCACTTTTTATTGTTGCTATAGTGTTAATGTTAAATGGAAGTGCTTCGTCTGGGTCAGCGAAGGCTTTTTGATTTTTAGGAATCATTTTATCAAAGGTGGCCCTAATTGCCACGGGGACATCTTCGTCATTAATTTTAATAAAGTTGACGTTTTTCTGTAAATCGGATTTTTTCATCTCCGTTATTTGTGTGGATAATGTTTCCAGTAAAATCGAGTTTCGCATTCGCTTGTTTAAGCAAGTCGAGACCGATAATACCGTCGAATTCTTTAAGGTTATTTAGAATAAAAAAGGGTGTTTTTATTTTAAACACCGAAACTAGGCACTTTTTATCTATTTTGGTGAAGCCATGGATTGACTTCACTGTAAAGGGTTTCTCCGCTGCCACGATGCCTTTCAGCCCCGGGATTGGAGTAATGTAATTTTTTGAGGTGCCTGTGTCTAAAAGTAGTTTTATTTCTCTTCCTGCTACCGTACTTGTAATGTAGGGGAGCAGGGATTTTAATCTAAAAAATTAAACGAATCTTCTTCATCAAGATCGTCTTCTATTTCAGTGGCACAGGCTTCAGCAACGGTGTCATAATCTTCGTTGTCAGATTTCTCCTCTGGCATGAAGTTAATTTTTTGTTTAGTTGACTGCCCTTTTTGCCATGTTGTGAGCCGAGTAAAGAGCCTTCTAGAGTAGGGGTCGACCTCCATTGGCTCTGGTGCTGGTTGACCCTGGTAAGACCCCGAATTTGTGTGGGGTCTCTGTCTAAAGGAACCACTCTGATTGTTGGCCCCTTTTTGGGTTCTAATAAAGTGAGGAGTGTTCTTAACCGCTCTCGTATTTTCATTCTTGGTCTGGGGATTTTTCCAACCTGCTTGTCGCTGGTTTTTCTCCTCATTATGTCGGGCGAAAGTGGCCGCAAAAGCACTTCTTTCGTTGCTCGATTCAGCTTCCTGTGCTAATGCTAAAGCTGATGGCAAGTCCCGAGGTTGTGCCGGAAAAACGGTTATTTTTAGAGATTTTTTTAACCCAGATATGAACGCATGTAAAGCGTCATTTCTGTGCTGTCCATTTAAGATGGCAGCTGCGGTTGCGTCATGGGTCATTATTGTTTTGTTTGTTGGAAGCGTTAGCTTCCGTTCTATTTCGTCATAGAATTTGAGCAGTGGTAGCTCTCCCTGTCTTGACAGACTTAATTCTTGTTTAATAACGTGCGTCGGAGTTTTGTCCGCGTACGTGAAATCTAGGCGTGCCAGTATGGCATGAAAATTGAATACCGTATTGAAGGAGGATAGCACTGCGGCTGCTGATCCTCTCACTTTATTTTTTAGAATACCGACGGCTTGGTAGTATCGACTATTACCGTCGTATGGTTCAAATACTTTATAGGCTGCGGTGGCAGCTAGCCTCCAGGAGATATAATTTTCCTGGCTATCATCAAATTCTGGAACCGACTTGACCATGTCAAGGGGTTCGTTGCACTGCATCTCTCTTTGTGGGGTGCTATCTTTTGTTTTGAGTGATTTTAGCTCCCCTATAAGTGCAGCTAATTTTTTATCAAATAGTTCCTGTTTTTTTTGGAGTGCGCTAGTTATAGCGGCCTCCATGCTTGCAATCTGTTCTGGCTGCATTGTAAGCGGCTGTGGGTTTGTAGTGTTAAAAATACTAGGTCGAATAAATGCCCCCTTGCTAGTGGATGGTTGGTAATAAGTCTCAGTTTCTTGTTCTTTCTGAGCTTTCTGTCTTTGTATTTTTGTGTCCAAAGATTTTCTATACTCTGCAATAACCTCGTCGTCTGACTCAGTTTCTTTATGGTTTCGGTACATGGGGTCGTTACTTAATTTTTTTTTTTTAAATTTGTCCATGGGCAGTCGGAAATTTTATTTATAAATCTACTAAATAAATATATTTATGTTTAA